GAACATAATTTAATCACTCAGGACAAAATGAGGAACATAGTTCTGAATTTCTTCCTGATTTTGATGGCCTCTGCTCCCCCAGGCGACAGGATATATGGGGCTGAGAGGGTAGGGAGCTCTGCTTTTGTTCAACTGGCAAGTATAATGACCACCAAGATATTTTGCTGTGGACAGGATGCTTCTTGCTAGATTTCACCTGCATCAGCCCCGGTGTGTCTGAGCTTACTCTAAAGTGTTCTGACACAATAGCTATTCATAACACTGTGTCACCTCAAACATCTGGCCCAGGTTTAGGTTTGTACAAACACCTCTCCAGACAGATTAAAGAGACTGTTGCAATTCCAAAGGTGCAACTAATGGATAGCTCCAGCTATAATTATGAGGAACAAAGACTTGTTTTCATACTTTTTTCTCAATATTTATCTCTATTCTGTGATGACCACAGGACCACAGTCTAATCTTTGAATGATGACTATGACTTTCAAAATATCCCTTGGTGCTGATAAAGTGAACTCATGTTTTATCAAAGATGAGTGGTTTATTAAGACCAAGATTAAGACAATCTTCCAGTACAAACCACTTCCCTTTCAATCAACAGTATATTCAATACAAGGATGTGAAGCATGGATGTAACTTGTAAAAATGTATTCTTTAAAATGTCCCATTTATGTGAGCCCTGTAATTTACACTTGCCCTTGCTCCCTCCTTCCGACCTCAATCACTAAACACCAGATGATGTTATGAATGAATGGCTTCTGCTACATCAATTTCTGCAGCAGTAGAGTGGTAAAGTGTGACCTGTGTTGTTGTTTCCCCAGACTGTTGTTGTTATGAGAGGTGCAGTGGAGGGTGGATAAGTGCAGGTTGTGGACATGAGTCAGATACCAGCTGGTGGAAAGATGTCAGAGTATACAAAAGGGTAAAGCAGGGACTGTGGAAATATTCAGATAAGTTACTGGTCCTGATGAGAGCTACACCAGTTTATTTTTATGGTGGTCAACCTAAATATACACCAGACAGTCCTCAAACAATTGCACTATAAAATACAATTCTCTATTTTTTTTTTCTTGTTTGTTTAGGAAAGGAATATTCTAAAGGCAGACAATGAAGGTTTAAAGATCCAGCTGGAACAGGCACACAAAACAATTGAGTCTCTCACAATCCAGAAAAGAAACCATGTAGTTGACAGTCTACAACACAGAGACTGCTCCTAGCAGATGAGAGGAAAATCTCCCATGGAATGGAAGAAAGTAAGACTGAAAGAGGGGCTCTGATAAAGCTGCTTACCAAGTGAACTGGAGAGAGAATCTGAAGGATATTAAGCAGAAATGTTTCTCTTTACAACATTTTAAACATGCACTCCAAATATATAAAATAATTTTGACCTTGTAAGGTAATTTAGCATTATCTGTGCAATGAAAATAGTATTTTCTGGGTTTGCTTTTAAAAGGAGTGAGAGTGTTGCTGAAGTCTCTGTTCATATTGAAGACCATATTGACTTCCCAGTGACTTACTTGGCTGCCAGCAGCACACCTTACTGTACAAATGTTCTGACAAAGTAGATATTCATAAGACTGAGTCACCTCAAATTTGGCCCAAACTCAGTTTTATAGAAACAAATGAGTGATAAAGCTGAGTAAGTAAAACTATAGAAAAAACTACATTAAGAAAAACAATTCCTTCTTGGAGCTGAAACCAATTAAAAACATGAAGTGAACGGTCACATTTAATTCCAAAAATTAACAAGAAAATTAAAGTAGCTAAGCTAATGATATTTGATTGATCACTTTAAGATAAACTGACAATTTTTTAAAACATCTTTCAGAGCTTTAGAAGTTCTGCGACTCAAACACTTACCTTTATTAAAGTAACAGAAGTGAGACTATAGAGACTTTTTGAATACTGCTTCCATGCCATGACTTGGAAGATTTAATTCCCCTTACTTGGCTTAAGGAGTAACTTCTTGTCCACATACACTTGATATGGGACAAGGTTGATTATATTTCTCTCACATCAAAGTAGATGCCATTGTTGAGCAGAATCTTTAGAGCCATATTATGAGGGAAACTTTACAGCAATCCCTGTGCAATAGCTACTGTATTTCAGAGCTCCTAACAAGATTTCTCCATTTTCTCTCTCCTGGATTTCACATGCACTTTACATTAAGAGTCAAGATGAGTGTGCTCCTATGTCTGTAAATTTTGTATAGTAAAAGGTGTGAGGGAAGTAACTTAAAGACACAAAGTGTATATATTTTTAAGAGAAAATAAAACGTCTTTCAAGTTACTGATAAATCTACCTGTCAAAATAGCTGATTTGAAAATTCCATTTGCATTCCAAGAGGATCTGTATGCTTAGAGTTGTATATTTGTCATCACACATACAAACATCATAAACAAAGTCCACTTAATGCTCAACACTTCTGAGTTTCCAGTTCCATTATAGATTGAAATTTAGTCAATGACAATAGCATCTGTGCTTTGTGTTCAAAGTGGCATAAATATACATTCCATCTACAAATTACAGTCATTATCAAGTATATGAATGCTTTATTTATAAAGTTAATTTGAAAGTATTTGCCAGTTTAGTGATTCAAAATTGTTTGGAAATTGGATTGTGCTTGCAACTCCATGTACAAGTAAAAACAAATGGAGGGAAAGAGTAGTAGTAGTAGATTTTCTGTAACATTACTGTAAATAACTGAAATGCATAGGAAAAAAACAGCTCTGAAGGCTGTGCAGCTTTTTTCAACTCATACACTAAGCCTGAATTATTAACAAGTAACATGGAATTGCACTTTGGTCAGTGAAGCAATCAGAATGGCTGTCAGGTCATGTCTGCAAACTTGGTTTACTCATTTTCTGTGAGCTTCTTGATTTTGTCCTCTATTCAGGGAACTACAGCAAGGTGTATTTCTAATAGACATTTAACAAATAAAAGTCTGTTTCTACAACTATTAAACAAGATAAAAGTTGAATATATTTTCACTTATTTAAAAAATACGCCAGAGGAGCAGCTAAGACTCATAGATCTTATTGTACAGCCAAGGTAAGTGCTCACTGGTGGTCTAAACTCTGGATTTGAATAGAATTTGTGTATATACTTTGTCTATGATGGAATTTGGAGATCATGAACAAAACCTCATAGTTAAAAGGAAAATTCCCTAATATCAGCAGCTGGCCCAAAGGCTACTGTGTAACTAGCTACTTAATACTCCAAACTGAGTTATGACCACAGATTTGTAAAGTTCTAAGTCCTAACTTAATGTTTCTCTGTGAAGTTTGCTTCTTCAATTTGAAAGATTTAAAAGGGCTCTGTTTGCAGGAATGTCTTACAGAACAAGTGTGCAGTGCTTCATGTGTGCTGGAAACTTCCTGCTTCAAAGAAGTCAGTTGATACCTGGATAACTTCAGAGCTCTCTAAGTACCTTCAGGTTCTCTGTTTGCCCAAAGCCCCTAACAGTTCTCTCATTTCACCCCACCTTAACAGTGGAACCTGACTGCAGGGAAACTGTTAAAACTGACAGTGCTACCCAGAAAAAAATCACGTGCCTTTGTGTTAATCTTCAAGCTGCTTTATGTTAGGAAAAAGAGACACAATTAGAAGTGCTGTTTAGAAGTTATCAAACAGTGATACTGAAATTTATCTCATGGCCAAGTCAAATGGAAACACCTCTTCCTTCTCTAGGTCCAGATGTGCTTACAAGAAGGCAGAAAGAACAAGCACCATTCCCCATTCATTTAAGCGTGAATTCTGATTGTTTAAAGATTTAAAAGTACACAGATTGAGGAGTATGATAATTAACAAGGCAGGGCTACTGTTCATATTGAGGTTAAATACAATTGCTTTTAGATTAGCTCATATATGTTTTGGAAATACGTTTTTGTTCTAGCAGCATCTGTTATTTTGTTGTAACTGATCTCTATGGCAACTTGAAATGCTGTCTGAAAAGATTGAAGAAGTGTACAGATTGTAAAGATTTTATATAAATTGTAAGATTTTGGTTTAATATTTATAACAGAAAAATATTAAACTTGCATTTCATGCCACCTCTGATTTTGTATCTCAGAGAAATCTATACGAGCTATACTCATCTTCCTTGACTGTTATCTGAGACCCTTCTGCAGCATTAACCTAGTACCAGTGTCTTACACCAGCTTTACCTTCTCTGAGCCTTGGAATGGTGCCTGGGAAAACTTGGGAAGCTAGGTATTTGCAGATTATTTGTTGGGTATTTTAGTGGCTGACACAGTAAAAACACTGTGTTGTTACTCACTGTTCCAAGTATTACAAAGCACCCGTTATTTACTATCATATTCTCTCACTTTTGTTAAGAATGGTTATTTTGAAGATTTCACAGCACAGTAGCCAAGTTTAAGCAAGGCTTCTGTTGTGTCTGCTAATGCTGTCTGCTATTGCACAGGCAGTACTGTAGCACCCTAAAGGCTTGCTATTTACCTTATAGTAAACTTCAAACTACCACATCCTAAATTGGTTTTTATATAGGGAAATGGGCATCCATTCAGTTATCTTCAATCATGAGAGGGAAGACAACAAGAGGTGAAACTCCTATTTGTATGGCAAATCTGCTCTGTGGTCTTATGCAAAACAAGTCGTGGGTTTTTTTATAATTATAGAAAGTAATAAAATAAAACTTGAGAAGTAATTGGAGGATATTTCTTTAGTTTACGTAAAGAAAAAAGCAGTGATCATACAGATCACTATGCTTTTAATTTTTTTTTCAGTAAGATAAAATCTAACTGAGATTTCCTTAGTAATCCCAGACAAAATCCCAGACTTGTGGTATAACTTTATAGAAAAAATTTAACAGGCAAGGTATCTACTGCCTTCTCCATTTTAGTCAAAATACATGTTATTTCCATTACCATAAAAAGTAAGTTTCACCACTATTGTAAATCACTAGCAGGAATTCTTTCTTACAAACAAAGGAGGAACATATGATAGTGGATCCAAATCACAATACACACAGATGATGGAAATAATTTCAAGTACAGTACTTTATTCCTCACTGTTTACAGCTGTTGACAAAAGCGTCTCACAATTCCTGAAAAAAATCCCCAACCTTTTTTTTCAGATCTTCAACAAACAAAACAATATTAACTTAGGTATTCATTAAGTGCAAATAAACACAAAAATGTTCACAAACCTATATATGAAAATCTTTTACTTATGACAGAATTTTTGAAAATACTTTTTTTTCAAAACAAAACTTGAGATTGAAATCAATTACTTTAATGGTGTTATTGCATTGTTTGAGAAATTAAAAGCATACATTCTGACAAAAGGACAGCAAAGGATACCTCCATGAAATATGGTGGTGCTTTATTTTTTAACTACTGGCTTCACATTTTGAAGTTATTTAAGAAAGACTGAATTGGCCAGATTAAAAAAAACCCTCCAGTGTATTTGTATTTCCATATTTTACATGGTCTACATAGACATAACTGAAATATGATTCTGAAATAATTCAACTGTTAGAATTGAAGTGGACATGTACCTGCTTCATTTGATGATTTACTTCATTCAGAACTGTCCTGCCTACCAACAAACAGGATGGACTGATGAGTGTAAAAACACCAAGGCACACCCACATCTGCAGTTACAACAATCCAACTAAACTGCTGCAATCTTCCTGCAATCCTAAGACTAACGAAACCTTTAAGCATAGGTAAGTAATTTGTTTTTCCAAGTGCAGTTCCTTGATGAAGCCACATGCTTGACTGCTGATTACTTGTAGCAAAAAGAAACATTGGGATGAGCAAATAGAATTTAATCTTAAGGCTTTGGTTGTTAAAAAGCTGCTCTCTATTCCTTTGCTTACCAACACTTTGCTCCAAGGCCAGCTGTCTCATTTGGTATGTCATTGGTTTGGGAGCTATTCCAGAGCATTAGGCAAAAACCAAGCTCAGAATCAAGAGAACCAGTACTGTGCTTCCATGTGGGGTCTCTCCATAACCACTGCAGAGGCTGCCAAGAGCTTAGGCCAGTAAGAAGCATAAAAAAAATTTGGCAAAGGAACTACAGTGCTAGCAGTTGGGTGACATTAAGCAATTGCTGCAGAAGTACACATCCCAGCTAACAGGTTCTAGCAAGCAAAACTTCTGCTTCTTTTTGTCAGGCACCTGCTGCAACCCTAAAGCCTGGGTAAAGCCATATATATCACATTAGAAGCAGCATTCTCAACCACACTGATGAGAGAGAAAATGACAGAAGAAAAGCTTTTGAAAGATAGTAATTTGATTTGGAACAGAACTTTACATTCATGCATGAAGTTGCCAGTGAAACAGGACATATGTATGTTTATGAAGGTAAAAAAACATCTTTAAAGCATACCAATGGACACCAATAGGGAAATTGTGCAGAAAGAACATGTAACTGAGAAACATAAATCCAAAATCAAATCCTGAAGTTCAACCTGCAGTTATGCCTACAAGTGCTTCAAGCCTGCTGTGCCATTTAATCATCAGACACACCAGGTTCATCAGATGCCTTCCTGAATCTCTCTGTAGTGACCTGACCCTGATAAACACTGTCATGAGAACATTCTCAGGCAGCATCCCCTTCCTACCTCTGTTCTCAGGAGCAGCCTCACAACATGGGAGAGCTAAAAGATATTGGGCAGCAGAAACTGACTTCTTTAAGTGACAGCACTAAATTTAATTCCTGTCTACATGTATTTACAGCCCTGATGGTATGTCAGCTAACTCCTTCTAGACTAACAATGTGAGGGAGAAGGCACCCATACCATGTCGAGATAGGGCTTCTTTTAGGTTGGCAGAGAGAGAAATCACTGAGAAATGGCAACTGCTGCATGAGGTGTCTTGTTAACTAACCAGACAGCTGGTGATTCCCAAACACAGAGCAGCAAGGTAGAACAGGATAATTTAAAAAACTAGTGGAAAGAAAAAAAGGTGAGAAGAAATATCTTCTTTCTTAAAACGCTCAGCTTGTTCCAACTTTGTGTCTCAAAGCTGATACACAAGGATATACACACAAATTCATACCAGACATGATGCCTACAGGTTTTCTGCCCAGTCTGATTTAAATTATTTTTTATGAAACACCCACAATGGAAAACAGGTAAAATGAAAATAAGACACTATCAAACCTCACTATGATGAGTTTACAGTTCATGCTCTGACCATTAAAGAGTGTATGAACACAAAACACAACCTGATTCAATTAATTTATGTAGAGTATTCATTCACAATGTTACTATAATGTGAAGTTCTGCAAGAATAATCGAATCTAATTTAATAAATTTCACCAAAGCCTTAAGGATTTTAACATTTGAAATTAAAATTCATTTACATGAATGAATTCATGAATTCATTTTCATGAAAACTATGAATGCAGAACAATGACATGAAGAGAACAAGCCTGAAAGCAGCATTCTTCAGTCTTTTAAAAGTGGTTTCATCCAGTTCTTAGGCCTACTTTGTTTTTTCTACACAAGATTTTGGAGCAGGAGAGTAGACATGCAACATGCAATAATTAGAGAGGTCTGACCATTAATATATTTTTGTTTGTTTAGAAAGGGTTTTATTCAGTTGTCTGAGACTTATTTTAAATAAAATGACATAAAAAACACCATATAAGCAGTATGAAAAACAAGGACTTCAGTCATCAGATTTTAATATAAAACTTCAGTTAACTAAAAGAACTCAGTGAGAACATCAGTTGGTCTAATGAAATTACTAATATGGTCATATTTAATTCTAACCTAAACCCAAGTCAACATATCTAAATTCCTAGTACCAGTAAACACTACTATATTCTGCCAGTTACTCTGTTAAGATTTACAGTACTTCAGTATCTTCGGTACCCTCCCCTTCCACCATATGGATCACCATAGCCTCCCCTGCCACCATAGCCTCCCCTGCCACCTTGGAAGCCACCTCCACCTTGGAAGCCACCTCCACCTTGGAAGCCACCTCCACCCTGGAAGCCACCCCCACCCTGGAAGCCACCCCCACCCTGGAAGCCACCCCCACCTCTTCCACCGCCTCTGAAACCCCCTCCTCCTCTACCCCCTCCACCCCCCCAGTTACCTCTTCCACCACCACCACCCCCCCAGCCACCTCTTCCACCACCTTCTTGTCTTTTTTGCCACGGAGGCATTTCAGGAGGAGGTGGTTCAATCTCTGTTGGTCTGCCTCCACGGTCAGGGACTCTCCCCATCAGAACCTGTATGGAAAAACAGGTCATTTTCAGAGTTACAAAATAGCAGTAATAACTTGAAGAGACACAGGATTTTCTCCTGTGAACAGAGAAATGCTGCCTGCTGTTTTCAGGTAATTTGGCCCCTCAGTGCAGTGCCTGACAGCAGAATCACTATCTCCTGTCCCTGTAACACCACAACAGAACTCTGAAAATGTTCTCATTTTTCACCTTGAAAACAGAAATAACTGCAGCTAGCTGGCTCATATTACTTTCGTGAATTTTTAATGAAGAAAAATGCAGACCTGAAGCATTAGTACTGCAATAAACAATATACACACTTCATATACAATATATACAAATGCACATATATATTCATACAGAAAAGACTCCTTCTGATGCGGCTCTTCTACTTAAATTTCAAAATTCAAGTTCAAACCTAATCAGCCAACAAAAAAACAAAACAACTGGCAACGTGATGTGCAGTTCTCAAAGGCACACCAGTTTGGCTAACATTAGTAACTACTGACACTCATAAAGAGCCAGGATGAACAAAAGATGCAACAGGCTGCAGTAGCACTTCCAAGAAAAGGAAAAAAAAAGGCATCTTGACTATGGCAGGTATTACTCAGTGTACAAAAAGAAAAACTGCACTGGACAAAGTTAAACAAAACAAACATCTTTGAAGAAAAAAAGACGTATCCAAGTAAGTCTTTTTGTTGTTGCTTTTGTATTTCCTAAACTCTCTGTGATCAATGTTAACATTCCCTGATCAGACCCAGGCACTCCAACTGAAGTCCTCTCAAGAAAAAAAAAAACCTACCTGTCTCTGAGATCCTACAATAATTAAGAAATTTCCGAGTGTTAAGGATCAAAACATATTAAAGTATCTAAATGAGGTAAAAAAGATTAGAAAAATCTGTAAATACCGGATCAATAAAATCAGGTTTAGTCACCACTTGAATGGTGAAACTCACGTCACTACTTGCAAGCTTCAGCTTTTATCACACACAAGAAAGCAGCACTAGGTTGATTCAATACTGCAGCAAACCAGGTAATTTTCATCAAAATGACATTTCTACAGAAACTTTTGTGATTTATAACACACTGATGAACGAGAGATGTAGGTTTACAAACCAAATAATAATATCCTGGCAAGGTAGCTCAGGAACTGATATCACAAATACTTGTATCTATCCTTGAGGTGTGCAGTTCCACTGAACTCAAGAGGTTATTTACACATACACCCCCCATACTTTTCCCCCTCATCTACACTACTCTACTTCATCCTGTTGCATGACTGACTGTCTAAGAAGATCAAAAAAGGACTTTCTGCAATGTTCACCAGAATACTGCAAACCTTCCTTTCTTAAATGGAAAAAACGAAATTAAGGTAGCAAGCAAAACCAGTGTTTAACTCCAGAATTCCTTTTGAGAGGTCTGCAAATGCCCATGTCCATTTCTCACTGCCAGAACAGTGTACCTTGTTGATAGCACAGGCAGTCTTCTCCCGTGTTGAGCCACTGCTGGTTCTTATGATCTTGGACAAATCCTCGCGAGCAGCGAGAAGGTGAGCCAGTGAAATGGTGGACTTTGGAGACAGCGCGTGGCGCTTGGGCTGATAGATCCGAGCTATTTCATCTGTTTTTACCTGAAGGAGAACATCAAACACTGCTTACCTGCCAGGTATCGAACACACCAACAGATTTACTATAAACCATGTGCTGGTCTCAGTAAGTTTCAATTTGAACACAAGGTGAGGTGTAGCTTCTGAAAATACAAACTGTATTACAAAACATAGTGCCAGTTATCAGCAGTTCTATTCCTGCTGGTGGAACTGTTACACAGAACGTGCTGCTGATTATGTTTAATTGATGCTGAAACTTAGCACCAGTACAAAAGAAACTCCTCTATCCACTGGCATCAAACAGATTCTTTAATGTCTTCCAACATGTCTACAGACTAAAACTTAAGGAGTCCATACTGCTCTCTCAAGAGCTTTACATAACCATATTCAACAGATTGCTTCTAAACATGATGAAAACAGAGCAGCTTCAATATAAAGTAAATTTGTGGAAAAAACTGAAAATATATCAGTGCAGCAAAACACTTTTGCAAGACATGAAAAAGTGAGACTGAGAAGAGGACAACATTAGATTTTTTCCAAGCATGCTTTGATGCTTCATTTATTTAGCAGAAAAGAAAAATAAATATACTTTCTGGGAAAATCTAGAATGACCTTCAGAGTGAAGTAAAACATTTGTTATTGGCTAGACCAGACCATGCTGAACCTTTACAAGACTGTTCTGCTTGGTAATTACTCCATCATTTGTGAACCCATTTCAGTCTGCAAATTTAGCCCTCTTGGAGGCTGAACAAGTTACAAAGAAACAAAAAAAAAAAAAAAAACCCAAAATGCCGTACCATCAAAAGCAAAGAAACTAATCAATATCTATTTAATGGTGGAGAAAAAAAGGCAAGCTACCAATTTTTAAAAAGAAAACAATTTGTCTCTCGGCTTAAAAAAATAAAAATCTCTAAATTACATCAATTCCAAAACATTTTCAATCCCCAAAACCTTCTCAAAGAAGTTATGAACATCCTTCAAGAGAAATAGGGAAAAAAAAAAAGATTTAAAACAGTACGTTATTTTGGATTAGTAGGTAACCTGGTTATTACTGTAACTGCATATATTTCACATCAACAGTCTTTACAAGACAGGAAAACGAATCATCTGACTGCTTTATCATCACAAATTTCTTTAAACTATTGTTCTATTTCAAAAGGGCATTCATTGTTTTTATGGAACAATAGCAAGTGACAAAGTTTTAGTCTGCTTACGTTAGTCATCAGTCACATCAACTACATTTTAGAAGGATACTTTAAATTTGAAGATACATAATTGTATTGGTACAGCTGTAAGGAAGTTCTACAAGTAGGGACATCTCCTGGCTTCTCTGAGCTAAATGCCTCCCTTTTCCTTTCTTGCAGCATAAAACATTCACAACCCCTCCAAAAATTAAACAGTGAGCTACTCCAACGCAGCACAGTAGCACCTCGACTCATGTGCTCCAGCGATACTTAGTGACCTTCATGTAGTTGATTCTGCACGAGTCAATGACAAATTGTCACGTCACAAAGACTTGTAACAATCCACACTTTCAATAAGCTTTCCAAGTTTTAAGATTTATTCAGCTTAAGCTTTCTAAAGAAACCTTTGGAAGGAAAGCTGATCTTGTCACTAATGAACAAAATCATCTGCCTCCAGCTTCCCACGTGTCTTCATCAAATTACAAACTTTGTGTGTCTTATCTCCCTACTCTTTGGGATACAAACAAGATACATTTCCAGCTCAGAAATATCATGACTATTTTTTAATATACAGAGTTCTAAGAAACAGTACAAATGAAATTATCATGATTAAAGCAATACCAGCAGAAAAAATACAGAGGAGTGCTTTGGAATTTTTAGTGACTGGAAAGATTACAAGCAATTGTGTGATTTTCTCACGCAAGCTACTATTCAAATAACCTGTTCAACTGAACAGCTGTTCATCTAGTAGAATCCAAGATAGGGGCAGTCACTGTAACCTCTCAGACTTTATGAACAGTACCTTTTTACACACAATTTATGTTAAGGCCCAGTGTTTGTCTTACTTTTGAATCTGCACAAGGTGCAGAAGTTCCCTCCTAGTTTACTTCATTGGAGGGTGTTAGATACAGAAAACAGGGAGATGGGAACTTTAATTAAGGTGAGAAACCCCAACAAAGGATGCTAGAATTTCTAATTGTGAAGCTATAAACAGTCACAAAGGATGGACTGTGCCATGCCTGGTTAAATCCATCCCCTTCCTCAATACCTAGAATTTGGATATTACAACTTGAGATGAGAACAGGCTGGAAAAAAAATAACAATGATGGAAGTGTATTTGTGTATTTACATGGCATGCATATTCTGTAGGAAGACTTGGGGAACAGTAGCAGACTCCCACCTACAGGAAGCAAAAAATACATCAAGTTTACCTTTGCTCTATCAGACCAGCCAAAAGACTGCACAGTCACGTCGAGCCTCTTCATCAACATCCGCCGCCGACACTCGTACTCACTGCAAAGAGCATCATTGATCTTCTCCAATCTTTCCTGCAGGGTTACAGTAAGAAATTCAAACAGACAAATATATGAAGTTATAGAGGTCAATTCAAACTTAACCCCACCCATCAACTAAGATGTCTATCCCGAGGTGACCACTACAAACTGCATAGCGTCTTTGTAATGCTATGCTACAGTAGTATGCGTGTACAAAATTATTGAAAAATGAACGATGGATGAATCAACACAAGGCCTGTTTTATAATGTCAATTCTGGAAGTATACCTCATTATCACCGTTAGTATTTAGCAACTGAATTTTAGTATTAATATTCAGCAATAGAACAGTGACTGTAAAAAGGCAAAGTTAAATGAAGCCATATGCATTTATTTTGACCATCCTGTTAAATACTGAAAAGAAATGGAGAAACTTTTCTTTACCACTTGGTCCGAGTTCAGAGGTTTTGTTAGCAGTGATTTCCCCACATGGTTATTTTTAACTTTGGAGAGAATGTCCTTCACCTGAAAAAAACACATACATCTCAGAACACAAATGATATTTAGATTTATTTCAGCAAAATTTGTTACAATCTCATTTTGCTACTTAGAAGATCAAACACAGCACATTTGTTTCAGCAGACTCATGAAAACAAACACGTATCTTCTAGCTTATAATCCACTATAGAAAGATTTCCTGAGTACTTTTGTAAGATGACCAGCCTCTATACAAAAATATTTTATGGCACATCACTTGTCCTCCCATTAACAGAACAATAGTTATATAGCAAATTTATCAAGTGCATACAGGAAGTAGGACTAGCCAAATTACTCATTTTAGATACTACTAAGTGTTGAATGACAACAATTGAAAGTTCAGAGCTCTGTTGCCAAACGTTACACTGGGCTACAAAAATCTGGTGATGGGTGTTATTAAGAAAGGCAGGAGATATGACAGGTATGCAGTCATTCTCTCTCATTAATTTAATTCTAATCCTACACCTGGTTCCAGCTAACATTATGTTTAAAACTTTTGCATTCACCCTAAATCATATTTGCTCATACTTCTTCCACTAGTTCTTGCCCTCAATAATTAGAGATGAAATATGCTCTCTCTACCTTCCAAACACCACTGCATTTTCCTCTCTCATTACAAGAAATCTCTACCACCTCTTCTTGAGTGAACTTCCTTTGGCAAAGCTCTTCTAAAATCATTACCAAGAATGCCCACAACACTTGTACATAGCTTGAACATAATCCAACTGATTTTTCAGCTGGAGTTGACTGCATGCATATTATTGTTCCTCCAAGTTTTGTAAAGTCTGATGGAGAGAACTACATCTTTATTTGCTTTAGTAAATAACCATGGGGAACCAAGCAAAATGAATAAAACTAGAATTAATTTTCTTTTATATGTCAAAGGAAGGATTAAGGTAGTGCATGATCTACAGTAAAACCTGTAACTGTGGACAGCCATTAGATACATTTGCAAGGATTATAAGACTTCATGCAGGCATACAGGCATTTACATTACATTTGTCACAAAGGCATGGTTCAAAGCTCAGTTTTGAGCTTCACATGTTACAGAAATATCACTAATTACTGCTACAAAAAAAAATTTCCAGAAGTCAAAAACCAAATTCTGGAGCACCTAGTTAATTTTTAAAACAAATACTTAGAAAATCAACTCTCATATGGCAGGATTTTTATAATTATCTCTTTGTTTTTTTTTTTTGTGTATATGAAGAAAAATACCTGATCTCAAATTTTCTGTGAAAACCAAGGTTTTTGTTCTTTCTTTTTACATAACTGCTGGGCAGCACTCTGGCAGGCTAAAAACACAGTATCTCAGAAAAAGTCTGAGGTAAATATATTGTGCAGTGAACAAATAAAGGGAAAACACTGTTTTGACTCTTAACAGAAAAGACAGCCTAGCAGTATCTGAAAAGCGGCAATCTAGTTAGTGTAATACTCCCTGTTACTGTATTCAATTCATATCAAAAGAGGTTACAATAAGGGGTGAAGTTCAATTCCATGGACCATACTGATCCCAACACTCTTTCTCTGGTAAGTCTTGCTTCTCTGTAACCTTTTTCTTTACAAAAAACACTCCAAGGTTGTCTGTCTTCTGCATATAGCCATTTTTTTTAACTGAAGCATGTACATGGTGCCATATTCCACTCCAAAATGCAAATGCACCCAAGCACAAACTATGTTTGAATTTAAACAAATGTTTGAAGATCAAAATCGAAAGCTAATAATCAACAATAGAGTAAGATCAGTATGACAAAAAGAGATGAACAGATCAGTAATGAGTATAGAAGGAATGATCAGTAGATGAATTAAAATTCTATGGGGCAAGAGGTGTCTACTCATATACAACTGTGGTTAGAAATATTACCTCAAAGTTTGAAAGAAAGAATCTATCAAAATGAGACCAGCTGCTGAAACAAAAACCAATACAGCAAAATGAAAAATCCTCAATGTAATTTACAGTTAGATTGTGAATGAAGATGTGAAAGCCAGTGATGCTGAATACTACCTAGAGATTAGAATTATTTTAGGTCTGTGTTGTGTTGTGTCTGTATAGGTTGGACTGTTCTGTTCCCCCTATCATGTAATGGTTCTGCCCTGGTTCTCTCCTCCCTCCCTTATGCTGCCAGTTATCCCAATTCCTCCCCAGTTGCCTTGGAGACTAATGTATCCTTTCTCAAATCCCTCCCCAGTGCCCTGTCCGTCACTCGGCGCTCCCACCCTTCTCTCTAGAACTCTCTAGAAACTCCCAGCTAGAGCGTCAAGTGATTGGCTCAGGGGCCAGGGCCCTACCCTCAAGTTATCCCCATTGGTGTTCTCCCCAAGTCAATCTTTTGTATCCCACTCCCCTCTGAAACCCTATTTGTCCAAGGGCTGACTCCTCCCCTGTTTCCCTCCCTCATTATAAGGTGTTGCAACTTCCCCCTCTTTCTCTTTGGTTGTTGGTTTCCCTGGCAACTGAAGCGGTCAGGCTGGGGAAGGATTGTCCTTCTCGGATGTCCCGGCTGGCTGTCCAGCACCTCTAGCAGTACGGGGGCACCATCCCAATCTCCGTGGTTCGGGACAGCACCGAAGGCAAACGCTCTGTGCTGTGACAGCAGCGCTGCCTTGTGGTAGGACGTGGCTTGGCCTGTGGCTACACTCAGCAGAAACAAGAAGAGAGCGCTCTCCAGCTGTGGTGAATCCAGGTTTATTGGGACCCAGGGGAACCAAGGGCCGAAGAGAACAAGGGGGAAGTTGCAACAGCTTATAAGGAGGGAGGGAGACAGGGGAGGAGTCAGCCCTTGGACAAATAGGGTTTTAGAGGGGAGTGGGATACAAAAGATTGACTTGGGGAGAACACCAATGGGGATAACTTGAGGGTGGGGCCCCAGCCCCTGAGCCAATCACTCGACGCTCTAGCTGGAAGTTTCTAGAGAGTTCTAGAGAGAAGGGTGGGAGCGCTGAGTGACGGACAGGGCACCGGGGAGGGATTTGAGAAAGGGTACATTAATCTCCAAGGCAACTGGGGAGGAGTTGGGGTAACTGGCAGCATAAAGGAGGGAAGGGAGAACCAGGGCAGAACCATTACATGATAGGGGGAACAGAACAGTCCAACCTATACAGACACAACACAACAGGTCTGCAGCTGCAAGGACAACTAAGAGGTAAACAGAACACTGGACTCCACATATGAAAGCCACATTCTGCCATCACAAGTCAATCACTGCTGCATACTCCTGATTTCCATGAACTGAAAAGTGAAAGGTAGTTTAGACAGAACAATTAAGGAAGACAATCAATGAAAATCAGAACTAGAAGAAACAAGAGCACCTAATGAAACAATCCTTTACTGACTGAGAAACTGCCCCCAAATTTCTGCAATGTTTTCTTTCCAAGTTAGAGAACACCTACGTAATTTTTATCCAGCACAGCTTTACTAATCAGTAACAGTTAAGGAGGAATCTCTTCACTGATGAACTGGTCTATACTCAAGAACTGGTCTATGTTTTTGACACACTGTAAAGTCATATTCAGATTCTCTACTTACTCCTCACTCCCATCAGCAGGGCTCATGGGGAAATCCTACAGCTATAATGGTGAAACAAGCTGAGCGGCCTTACAGCTGCAGAACACATTGTTCAGCCAGAAGTGGTGACAGAGGTATGAGCACAGGAACTCTGACACACAACACTCTGCCAGAGGACAAGAATATAATGGATGTGAGAATCTATGCTAATACCTGTATTCCCACACATGATAGTTGCCCTGGACTGAGAAGGATATGCAGGAGTTTAAAAAACCCACCACAACCCAGAAAGAAGTCTGCACATGTAAGTGGAAACAAAACCAAATGCAGTGCCCTGATAAAAGAGCAGTGAAAACATACTCAAAGAAACATAAACCAAACTGTAATAGCCAAATCATCCTAATGTTTTTATATATTCAGGTGTAAATATAAAACCAAATAATTAAAACTAGATGTAGACAAGTATATTTGACTATTTGACATACCATGTAATCAATGACCTTGGTAACACTAAAAATTTATGGGATTGCTTTGGGAGTTTACACAGTCTCTAAATATAAAATGAAAACAAATAAGCCATTGGATCTGCTTGAGACAAAAAAAAACAAATTCAAATCTGCTGCATAAAATAAACAGATATTCTACTGTTAACAAATAAAGTGTATCCTTATTGAACATGACATTTCTCATTTGTTTTGTAATTTTGTACAACTGAAAAAAAATTAGCTCCCATTTCATTACCATGTTCAATGTATTTATATAATATCCTCATCTTCTGTCAAAACAGAGAAGTAATTTTTACATTTAACACCTTTTGCACAGAAAAACATCATATATGTATCCACATCCAGAGTTTTTCAAGATTTTGAAAAAACCTGACCTGTGGAAAGGTGTCATATTATTAATTTAAAATAGCAACACTTAGAGGAAAGAATGTTGCCTTAATTAGTCATAAGGTGTACTGTACAGTTGCATAGAGATCACCCAAAATCTTAAGCACAAAATATTTTTAAGCCTGTTTCATATACCTGCAGATAAATTCAGTATTTATCTAACTTTAAATACATTTTTGTTTGACCTGATGTCTGGTGAACAGGACAACTCTTCGGTCTTGTTCCCTGCAGTTACATTAATCCTTACTGTCCAGGCACCATTACATCTGTAAAATTCCTACAGATCAACAGTCAAATGAAACACATTAATTTAAATAATAATAAATTCTAGGATTTCTACCCAAGTATTTAAAAAAATATTCTTCTCACACTTCACTTAAGTGTTATTTTAGCTTAATTTTGACTTAGTTTGTTCAGTAGCCCTTTGTAGTTTCTTTTCATTCCACTGATATGTGAAAAGTAGCGGAGTACTTTTAATAATGTAGGCCAAAAAAGTTCAGAAGTCTTTTGAATAATAGCACATTAAAAGTTTTTTCAAATAAACAGTATTAGAATGTCACTTTGTAATTAGGTATGAAATTCACACTATCTTGATTGGAAAACAGCCAGATGTAAGCACTAGTTACAAAGCACAACACTGGCATGAACTTTTCTGAATCTTTCATCAATGTTCATTTAGAATTTATGGAGGTTTCTGCACTAAATTTCAGGTTGACTCCTAGATTCCCCCTTCGTAAATATACTTTACAAGGGAACAGCATCTTAAACAACCTAAAAATTACTATCAGTTTTTCAGTACTGTATAATTAGATATGCTTAGTGATTGAAGGCTGTAATACTGTCCATTTATCTCTCATTTTCTTAGTTATATTGATAACCACAACCCTAGGTAATTACAGGAGATGCAAAGATACTTGCTATGATTGTACACTCAAAGTTTGAGCTACTATAAAACTCATTTTGAATGAAGAAAGCAATCCTGATTTTATAATACTCTCTTAAATAAACTGGAAAATCACTTAAAACAATAAATGTTCTAATGGTCCATACCAAAATACAGTGTGTGATCTGGCCTTTGGTAGGTTGCTGCTGCACAGCCCAACTATTCTCAGAACTACTCCCACAGCTACTGACAATGCTGAAGATGCTAGACAGAGACAAAGAGTAGACATGTTGAAATGCTGCAGATACATTTGCAGATACACTAAATAAAAATACTAGATCAGTATGTAAGTCTGTATTATGAATGATATAATACTAAACATCAACAGTGCAATTTTATGCAGAATCTAACTAAATCAAAAGCCAAAAAATATTTGGAAAAATAAATATATCGTTTCAAGTGAATTTCTGTGTTCATATTTTAAAAAAGTAACAAAATGGTGCTCTTAAAAAAATGTTTACAAAGCCAATGAACTTTAATTGGTGGCACCACCTTTCTAAAGCAGCTATACCTCTAAGTTTAGGTCTCTATCATCTATCAAACTTGTCCTATATTAAAGTAATGGATGAAGGACAAGTAAACACATCGCAGAAATTCTACAAAATCTCCTGCAAGGTAAGAAAAAATCCTTTGTTCATAAGGGATGAAACACACAGAGAACAAATTACACTATTAATGTGGAGTCACAGAAGATGAATGAACTAGTTTTGCCACCTTTCTACACTCTGAAGTGAGTACAAGTGGTGTGACCACTGTGGAACTAACAGACCTGAAAACTATTGGAAAATAGTCCAGGCAGCATTTATTAAAAAAAACAAACCAACAAACCAAAAACACAGATAAAACGCTTTTCAGATTCTGCTCATTTTTAGTACTTCTGAAAGTGTAATAGTTTATACAAACTGGGATGGCAACACCATGCACAACTGAAGCCTGTGATGCTGTCTGATAGGAAATGTCAGACTTTGCAAAAGGTGACAGACACCAGGTGTCCAATAAGTCAAAGAAAACATTCTATATCACTATGTGTGTATGAAGGAACTGGTGCTCCAGGTCTGGTCTTGCTGTTCCACAATTGCAGAACTGGTGTCCTGTCCCTACAATGCAATGAAACTAAATCTGCACCAGAGAAATGAAGCAAGGAATTGAGCAAGGAAGGTCACAGCCTATGAACACACATGGATGCAAACACAGCTATCACTCACAGAGGGAGATGAGCACAACCAGGCCATTAGTCGTCAGATGTAACTTTGACATTTTCATTCCCAAAACAGTGCTAGAATTGTTTCTTCATCCCTTCAAAAATATTTACTGAATGTAAAGATTTCCTCAGAACTAAATAGATCAAGCACAGATATAGTGTAGGAATAGGCAGTTCCACTTGCACCTAGGTGATGCCTTTTATAAATTAACCTATTTAAGGTTTTGTCTTGTCACACTGAAGACAGATATAAGAAAATCATGCAAGTAACAGGCCCTCTCCCCAAAATCTCTGAATGTTCAACTGCCCAATTGTTGATGAGGAAGAATGAAAAAAACAAGCACAATCATGTCAAATTATTAAATTCAACAACTCAGAAGCAGAGGGAGTTTTCATTCTACCCTACAAGGCAGATCAGTCACTCTCTCCCCAAACACTAGAGAGAGATGAAGAGCAAAACTTTTAGCTGTCTGACAGAGAAGATAAATTCCACCTCAAGAGCCTATTTACATTCTGCAGTAAGGAAATCAGACTAAGGATCACATCAGTGAAATGAGTTAAAACCTGGAGGGATACAACAAAAAGAACTATCTTGCTGACTAAGGTTTAAGTTGGCTTATTCACTGAATATTGGCAATTCAGGCATTTTCATCCTCTTCTGCAACAAATCCACACTTGCAATTAAGAAATTAATAAACTAAAAAGGACTAATTCAACTTTTGGATATTAAATGTAAATACATTCCAGAAACGACTACAGGTATATAAATGCACAAACAGTTATTACCCAAAGCTTTCTGCTTGCTACAGCACATCTGAATGGATAAGAGGAAAACTTCTACCTTAAACTTGCATGGCAAAATATGTCTGATCAGGTACATTGCAACCTCAGGGAAATGCTGAAATACTTCACCTCGTAACTCTAATAGTTTAACATAAAGACTAAGCTGGCTTTCAGAATTAAAATTCTTTTGCACTTGTCAGATAGGGTTTTTATGGGTAAGACTGCTGGGCCCCTAACTCTATGATGAATGCTTACAGGGACAGTGCTTACAGTTTAGCAGTAGTGAGAAGATGTAAAAGCCCGTACCTTTTGTTCCACACTGGTTAACAAGGGAGTAATACCAGAAGATGAGGAGTTTGGCAGACCCAGTGCTTCACAAATAGTTTGCATTTCCTGAATAATTTCATTGTGCTTTTCCAAATGAGAGCCTTTAACTTTCTTGCTCTGCAGTATCTTTAAAGCCTGAAGTTCTGTACTTAGAAATACTAGAGAGAAAAGCATCATAAGAGCAGATTTAGAGACACTTAAGCATTTCTGCATCCACATTCTCAGTACAGCTACAATATCTTACATTTGTAAAATAACTATGATAAAAGAGAGACTTTCTCAGTTCTCTCCTGAATAGGTCAGTATGTTTCCTACTCTTTACCTCCATTGCCTCTCACCTGAGTTCCTATATTCAGTCTACACACTGCATTTAACTGTTCAACTCCCTTCTGCCACCAGATCCCAAGTTCCTTGGCTAGTTTCACATTACCACATTGGTTCCTGCTGCCACTCCTTTGTCCAAGTCCAACTTACACTTAGACATTGCTTCCCTCAATTCTGTTTTCAGTACCTTCAGATTGTGCAGCATTGCTGTTCAAGCTGCCCTCTCACAAACACAGGAGGCAAGGTCTTAGTTTAGGTGAGCTGGAACATTTGGATCAAGAGAGGGATCAGGAGGCCTCAGTAGGATGCACCATACTGTTAAAAGAAATTTTAGTTTCTGCTAAACAGCTTTCTAATGCTGCTCTATTTTTCACTTTGCACAAAGGAGTTGATGTATGCTGAGCTAGTATGTAAGGACTATACACATCAACTTAAAACACATAAAGAACTCTTCAGTGTAAATTGTTCAGTTATGATAAAGCATGCACATAAAATACTGTATTATAAATGGGAAAAATGATTATTACTCACAAAGGAGTTTGAGACAATCCTCTTTCTCTCTTAATCTGTCTTTGATGTCTCCAGACACCAGTGATGTATATGGACAAGCCATTTCTCTCAGAAAGCCACTAATTTCAAGCTGGAAGCTCTCTATATCTTTCACTCCTATGGAAATAAATGCACAATTAATGGCTTGTTACAGAAACATCAAAATACAATCTAATTTTTTTAACGTACACTTCTATTGCAGATTTCAACAGCCCAAAGATTAACCACCTACCACACCAGTAACATTTTTCTTTAAGAAGTCCTACATACAAGAAGATATGCCTTCTAATAGTACCTTGTACTCATGCTTTGAATGAGGTAATGCTACAGCAGTCTGTGAAGACATGAACACAAATGACCATCAGAAGGAAGTGAACAATTTATGTCACTATATAGCGTGTCAATGTAATTTTCTGATGAAGAAGTGACAGGAGGCATGAGCCCATTATTTTCAGTGATTGGTTTTAGTTCCACTACTTTTTTGGCGAAAACATAATATAAAATCTCATTCAAACTCCAGCCCTCGGCAGGAACAATCAGGCAGTGCTACCAAGCACTCCAGGTATCCACACACGGTGCTGACAGGAACACTGTGCTGGACCAACAGCTGGAAAACACCCAGCACTGCAATTTATGCCACCAAAATATGATTACAGGCATGAATGCACTTTTCACATTTATGTATATCTAAAACCAGCTCAAATCACCTTCTTTTTTCCTTTTGAAACAGTCTTCAGAACAGGAGATCTTAATCTTAATCTAAGAGCCACATATGTACAAATATCAGCCTGAGTTTGGCTACCTTTCAGCTTTCTTGTAAACTTCAACACTAATTTCACTATTAGCTGAACAGTATGGGTCTAAATCCACGGAAAAAATACTAAATTAACATTAATATACCATCTGTTGCAGTGATGCTTTCTTCCATATTACAAAGTGACTTTATCTGGGAACCTAACCAAATGCAAAGCTCAAAAAATTCTGGTGAAGACAATCCATTTTCTGCTGCTTTTTTCAGGGCCTCCTCCTCCAACAGGGCACCCGTGTACCTGCACAGACAGATAAACATTAGTAATAAGAAGTAAGCATAACATAAAATATACATATTTTCAAATTATTTTACTGTAAGCTGGTTAGTAACTACATTTAAAGGAATTATTCTTTTTACATTACTTTTGTCAAGGAACAATTCAGATTTCTTTCTTTTAAACACACCAAAAAGTTATTGATCATTTATATACAAAATAGTTTGTCAGAAAACATGAGACAGGCACTTTCACATGTATATGTGAAAACACTTCGATCTCTCAGAACTCAAGTGTTAACTCAAGTGTTTGGTCAAATTTCCAACTAACAGTAACAACTGACTGCCCAGGAGTAGTGGGAATAACATAACTGAAAACTAAATTTCGCACAGTTTTTGTCCCTCACCATGCGAAGCACATCGCGGGAGGCGGGCAGGCACCAAAGAACGAGGCGCTGCCCCGCCAGCCTCCAGCGCCCGCCCCGGTGCCGAGCGCAGCCGCTGCACCCCAGGAGCACCCGGCCTCCCCTGCCCTCCCCGCGCTAGAGCCAGGCCGAGCCCACCGCCCGCGCCGTGACCCCGCTCCGGCCGAGGCCCGGCCCCCGAGCCCCTGGCGCCGCCGCAGCGCGGGGCCCGTTCCTCCGCCGATGCCGCGCTCCCCCTCGTTCCCGCCTCCAGCGCGGCCTCTCGCCCGCGGCTGCGGCTGCCCGCGGCCCCTCGCCCCTCGCAGAGGGGAGCCGCCGCTGCTCCCCGGTTACCCCAAGGCCTCCAGCGCGTCCAAGATGTCGCTCTCCATCCCCGGGCCCGGCGGTAGCTCCTTCATGCCGGCGCCGCGCCGCGCGGTGCCCGCCTCAAACCGGCCCTCCGCAACCCGCGCCCGCCGCCGCGTTCCGCTGCCGCCGCACGGCAGCCCCGTCGGGGGGCGGCCCCGGGCTGCCCCCGCCCCTCCCTTGGCGGCCACCCCCGCTCCGAAGGGCCGCTGAGCGCCTCGGGGCCATCCCCCTTCTGTGTCTGGGGGTGACCCTTCTATACAGCCCGGCTCTGCGTTTGCTTCCGTGCTGGGGAGCGCCCGGGCTCCCTGACCCTTTCCCGGCGGGGCTCGTCTCCTCCTGGCCCTGCGGCTGTGCTCTGCATTCGGCCCCAAACCCCCCGATTGCCCGCTGCAGTCGCTTATCCCGCTCCACCGGGTACCAGCCGACTGGAGAAACACGGGATCGGGAGCGACCGCAGCCACCCCTGGGGCTCCGGACATGGCTCATGCCAGGGCAGCCAGCTCTGCCACCCTACCCCGAGCCCCCTCTGCAACGTGGTTCAAAAAAGCAGGTGTTGAGGCCTGGACTTCTGCGTTATTATTGTGACCTCTCAAATTGAGAAATTCTACCTGAGATGGTGCAGGCCGTATCTGCCGGGCACCTGCAGATTTTCCTCTGTGGGGTAGTGCCTCAGCCCTGCTGTGCTGATTTTGGCTGAGGTGGAGTGAACTCTCTCCTCTGTGACTTGTATGGGACTGTGTTTCAGGGCTGTGCTGAAAGCAGGGTTGGTAATATAGATATGTTTTTGTTATTACTGAGCAGTGCTTGCACAGAGCCAAGGCTTTTTTTGCTTCTCATTCTCTCATAGTAACCCACGTGTGAAGGGACTGGTGGTGCTGGGAAGGGACACAGCCAAGACAGCTGATCTCTACTACCCAAGGAATATTCCAGGCCATGTGGCATCGTGATCAGTATATAAAGCTGGGGGGAAAGGGAATAAAGGGGGATGTTTGGAGTTGCAGATAATGGCATTTGCATTCCCAAGTAACTCATGTCCTGGAGATGGCTGAACACTCCTAGTGGGCTCATGGGAAGCAGTGACTTAATTCCTGTTTTGCTTTGCTTGCATGCACAACTTCTGATTTTTGTATTAAACTGTCTTTTACCTCAACCCACAAGTTTTGTGGCCTTTGCTCTTTATTTTTTAACCCAAGTGTGTTTCCATTTTTTTGATTCTCTCCCAGAGGGAGAGAAGGAGGGAGCGAGTGAATGGTTGCATGTTGCTTGGTTGCCAGGTGGTGTAAAACCACAACAGCCCTTTTGACCTTTTTTAACCAGTGTTTTCTTATATGGACCTTCAGAAAATCCAGTGGCTAAATTTATGATGAAGACCAGAAGAGCATTCAATCAGATGGAAGTAATTATAACATAGATGTTCTTAATGCGTGAAATCTCTACAATTTTTGAAGTAACTATTTTTAATTATTTCTGTTTAACAGAAGATGTGGCTTTATTGAGTGCTAAGCTTTAAAAAGAGGGAATCAGGACAGCTATGACATCCTCCCACAGGCACAGACAGAAATCTAGAAATTAAAAACATTGTTTATGGCAGTCAGGGAAAGGAAGAGCATCCTGAAGGCTGACACACTTATGTTGACCATATGTGTACATCAGTGCCTCAGCAATCTCTTTCACAGCTCTCAACTGGCTTGTACCATGTGACAGAACTTTGATTAGCTTTTGTTTCAAATGGGCTAACATAATTTCTCTAAATCAAGGAGCATGCATCTGAGAGCAGAGATTCAGAACATGAACTCTTGCTCCTTTTTAAACATTAACATCCAATTAGTAGAATGAGAAAACAAGATGTGCAGAACCGGACAGAAATAGCCACTTCTCTTTTCTTTTCTTTTTTAAAGCTGTACCTCTATGCCACCCAGAGTGATTCATCACTGTACAGTTGTTCTCCAAAACTGGGAAGTTTTCATATCAGTCAATAATGCAGGCTAAGACAAAGAACTGGGAACAACTAGAAGTGAAACTAGCATAACATTATCAAAACTAAAAAGAAACCTGGTGATTTAGGAGATACTGTGTGGTACAAGTAGATGGCAGCAGTGGGTCTTGCTTAAATATTCCTGATAAAAGTATTTTGCTAATTTATGTTACAGGAAGACACCTAAATTAGTAATTTCTTCCACTGCCTTTTGATAGCATTGCTTATACATACATACATATATACATATATATATATATATATATATATATATATATATATATATATATATATATATGATAGCAAAGCATGTGTATCAGTCACTGTTTTAATTCCACAGGGTGCTCTTGAAAAATTGTAACTTTCTGTGTACTAGAGATGTTCTCTGTATGAGGGAGGACAAATTTGAGTTTCCCAGACTGTCCCTTGATACCCACAATTGAGAGAGGATTTTGGTTGTGATTGTATCCTAATGCTCCTCTCATGGTGTTACCGTTCATGCAGACCACAGCTTTCTCCGTGTCCATTCCTGAGTTTCCCATCTCTGGGGAAGGGAAAAAGAATCACAAGAACGCTGGCTAAAACACGTTTTGTAACCATCTGTGCCCATGGGTGTGGGCTTTGCCTTTGCCCCATGCCCTTTGCAATATACAAACATAAACATCAAACCACAAGCACACAGGTGAGAGCACCAAAAGGAGAGGTCTCGGCACTCTAGAGCCATTACTTTCCAACAGAAAGCCCATGTGACATTAGCTAGGTCACCAGTGCCCAGAGCTTTTCAGTTTTTGTCTTTTCCCTGGACTCCCAGTTGGCCATCTCCTTCAGCAGTCAGGTAACTCTTGGTGCTAGCCCAAGGAAGAAATAGAGGTGCACAGCCAAGATTAGAAAATGAAGACAGCATTGCATCAGCACTGACTTGAATCAGCTTGAACTGATACTAAATGGCAGCTGTGTCTCTCTGTACAGCAAGGTGAAGATGGGAATTTTGGGGAAAGGTCTGCCACTCTGTATGAAATCTCTAAATTACAAGTTGCCTGTAATCTTGCTAAAAAAAAAAAAAATACATGACTCAGTTTTCCATTGAGGTAGGTAAACCTCAAGTATTTACTTGCATGAATATGACAAGTCACAAATTGTTACACTGTTCAAAACTGCTTGAGAAGTGCTCCTGCTGCCAGGCTTGCAGTGGGCATTCTCAGACAGCCCAGAGGCAAGAGTGGGGGGAAAGGGTCCTGCCTGCTGCTGCAGCAGGGCCATCACCTCCTGGTCTGCACTGCCAGCAGAGATGGTTTTGGGTTCTGCGTGGTGGGCACAGTCTGTCTGCTCCTAGAAGGGAAAATAAAGCTGCCCGCAGATGCAGCAGCTGCACATTTCAAAGGTTCATTGCTTTGTCTTTCTCGTATGCTCCACAGGAATAAAAAAATGAGGTCTCTTGAATTCAAACAGAATGGAGCCAGACACTGTTTTAATGCAGGAGAGGTACAAGTAATTTGCAGTACTAAGAAACATTTAGCAGACAATTAATTGACCACTAGAGGGGATCATAGGAGTGGAGAAGGAGTGGAATGTACTACGTGATAAATGCTTTCCTCTAATCCAAGCTCGCCTACGTGCAATGTTAAACTGTATGTGCACAGTTTAAAAATGATTGAGAAAAGACAGCACTCTGCACTCTGTATGTACTTAGGTTGATATAAGAAGCCTATATTAAGTTTAAAATACACCAAAACCAAGTTTACTTGTTACAATGAAATAGCTTCTTTACACAGATGTTTTTTCATCAGTTTAACTTAATCCAGTCTGTTCAGCTTCCATCTGTAAAAAGGTGCTAATCATTCTTTTATCCTATTTAAAAAAATAGGTTCTGTTCTTCAGACTTGCTGTCATTTAAACAAGTGTAGCTTGCTTGTTTAAAAGCTAATGTTAAAGTTGCTTTTAATCCTTCCATAAGCTTGTTCTTATCTTTAAGGATGATTTAGGAGTAGCCACCCCAGGCAGTATGAACCTCATTACATCATTGTGCAATCAGACTGCAAGTTGACATTGATGTATATATTTTAATTACATCAGTCTTGCAGATGAAGTATTTGCACTGAATGTGAATGATGTGATATCCATGTCACCGAACAAATTTCCACTAGCTACAAGGATCCTGCCCATCCATTTACTGGCTATCTTGCTGAAATTGAACTTGACATCCCATCATAAATATTTGATTTAGAAATCACCCTTCTAACATCTTCCAGACCAAATCAAGCCACCTGAAGCAGTGACTTCAGAGTTTTCAGTCCGGAATGAGTTCTTTCAAGAAACTGTGCACAGTAATAAATTCTGCAGAATACAAAGTTCAGTTCCTTGAAGATGGACTGCTCTCAAGTGACTTTCTTGTGGCACATCTCTCTGCACAGGGGTGGGAGAGGGCTGAACCAGGCAGCCATTGACACCTTGCACAGTGACTGCAACATACCCACTAGTACCCTTTTTCCAGTATTTGTCTAAGATGGTGTCTCTTCACTCTCCTTGAGTTGGAATAAAATGAATAAGGCTGTCTAGCTTTGTAAGGTTATAGACTTAGCTGCACATCATTGAAGTTACTGAGTTTTGTCATCTATCTTTGAGGTAGTAGGTATGGGGCCTAAATATTTCAGTGAGATATGCTTGCACCTTTCAGCATCACTAAATAAATATGAATAATTTGTTTCTCTTTTTTTCCTAGTGGTGCATTACAAGGGAAGCATTATGACTATTAAAGAACCTAGATTTCTTTTTGCTTAAGTGGAGTGTCCCACAGAAGATATCAATACACAACAATACAGAAAGAAAGGCACTGAACACAAGCAGTTTTACAAAAGGGAAAGCTGAGTGACACGTGGAATTGCCAGCACCTTTCACCTCTGTCAGGAGACTCAGTTTAATTGTCTTCTTGCTACCAAGATAGTCATTATACTGTAAGGACTAATTACAACTGAAATTTCTGTTGTTTTTTGGGTTTTTTTAAGGGAAAGTGAGAAGATGATGTAGCCCTTAGGTGCCCAGTGAACATTTGTTTGCCGAAGAGGCTGCAGTGTGCTGGTTGTAATTTTGTAGGCATTATTCCATTATGAATGAGA